CTATATATATATATATATATATATATACACACACACACACACACACACACACACACCCTTAGCAAGTATTCCAAGTTTATTTCAATACAAATTACTCCTAGGAATTTGAAATATTCTCCATTCTACATAACTGTTTCAGAAGATCACATGAGACAGACCCACTTGAATAGTAATTGTTTATATACAATAGGAGAGTTTTTCTAATGAGTTCAGTTGTCACAGTCCCTGGGTACACCGCCCTTTCTGAGTCGTTTTGCAGTCCCCCATGTCTCCACTTTTTTGGGTTGGACAACGTGGTCCAGTCGCTCTCCATGTGTGTCTTGGATTACAGGCCCCTGATTGTCAACCAGATTATTTAGCAGGCCCAAAAGACTTGATACCTTCCAGACATTTTCTTTGGAAGCCTGTGGACAGTAACAGCATGCAGTGACACAAAAGCAGCTTCTTTATTTTCCCAAAAGATGCATAGCACTTAGAGAAGTGAATTTAAAACAACAGGGACCTCATGTATGTTGTCTCACCCATGCTTGGCATTCTCCTCTGGCTCCTGGTTTGGGCTGACTTGGTCCCCAGGAAGAACGAGGAGCACCAGGGCTAAGTTACAGCCTGCTTGCTGTCGGCCTGCATCAGTCTGTAGCCACTGACAACGTCCTCCTCCCTGTGTAAAGGGCAGATCCTTTACAAAATTACTGTCGTTTGATCCCTGGATTTGGCAAACAGGCCTGTCACCAATATTGAGGCTGAGGAGTCCCCCTTCATGGCTATAATCCTGGCTATTGTGCTTGAGGGGAAGGTCTTTCTCTAAAGCAGAGTTTTACCTTTCCTGCCAGGTTTCTTTAACAACCCCTTTTGAGCTAATGATGCATTCAGGCAAAAAAATATCACATGGGTAACTATCAAAATGAATAAAAATGAATGAATTTAAAAAAATGAATATTTCCCAGTTCTCCACATGTCATCTGAAAAGCCAGTTTACATCATCTTAGAAAATGCTTCTGAAGAGACCATGAATATTAATTTCCCAAGGAAAGATGTATTAATATATTTTATAAGAGTCTGCACATGCATGCCATTGCTTTTTCTGGTAACCTGATGCCTTCCTAATTTCGAAAGTAAAATAATTGGGGCAGGGACTATGTCTTCTGAGCACACTGACTGTGTTTAGTAGGTAGTGCAGACAACGAGGTTAATTTGTAATAGTTTCATGAATGTGACCTATCAAGATACTCCAGACATTGCCATATTGGGTTATTACAATGTGGAAATGGACTGGTGCCATTTCATTGGGAGCTGTTGGGAAACAAGCAGGAAATGAAACAATGACAGAGAGAAGATCTCAGAAGAAAACAAGGTTCCTTAGAAGAACAATGGGTGGCCTATTAATTAGAAAGTGCCTACCTGAATCCAGGTTAACAGGCTTTGTTCCAGGTCTGATGCCCGAGATCAAAGGACACTAAACTGTTCAAAACCACTGCTGAGAGGGGGAGGGGAGGCATGAGTAGTCAGCAGTTGCTCAAGGGGCGACATTGCAGGAGCAACACCAAAAGAGAGAGGGAAAACTGAAGCAGGGCCAGCTGTTAGTCTCAGTCCATAAATAGAGGTCTGTCTGGAGCTTATCAAAAATTAACAAGGAAAGGATAAGATTTAGGTAAGACCTAGACATGTAGGCCTTTTGTTGTTTTAACCCTTTTCTTTGCTTTTTATGTATCTTTGGGTGAATAAATGTTCTCCTGTGAGTGCCTCAAAGTAAAGCTGTGTCTGAAGTAGACTGCACAGTGGTACCTGTGCACTTACCGTGAAGGAACATTCCAGTAGCACTATGTAATCCAGCATGCAAGGAGCTCAAAAGTCTGCAGTGCAGGGGTATCATAGCACCAGTAGACGCCAGTACAGCCTGGATAAGCAGCACGGTGGTGGTAGAGAAGCCACCAGGCAAATTGCACATCTGCATAGCCCCAAAGCCACTGAACCAAGCATTGAAAAGATGCCACTGCTCACAACTGATGATGATATCTGGCCACAACTTTTCAAAGCCAGAATCTTTACAGTCCATAATGTGAGGAATAGCTTTTAACACATAAGCCTAAATAAATTGTCCAGCATGCTGATAACTGTTGCAACACCATTTGGTTGCTACAGATGGCTGTGCATGCTGATGGGCATAAGCCCAGCACCAGAGGTGTTCCAGAGAAGACTCACCCAAGTGCTGGAAGGACTGCCTGGGGTGAAAATAATTGAAGATGATATCCTCATTGTAGGTAAAGGGAGTAAAGATACAGAAGCTTGACAAGTCCATGACAGAGAACTACATTTTTTCCTACAGCGATGCAAGGACAAGACCATGAAATTCAACCCAGGAAAAATGCAATTTAAACAGAGTGAGCTGACATACATTGCACATCTGCTCAGAGCAGAGGAATTAAAAAACAGATCCCAACAAGATCAAGGCAGTCAGAGACACATCAGAGCCAGTGGATGTGAAAGGGTTACAGTGCTTCATATGAATGATACATTTTCTGGCCAAATTCTGTCCACACCTGGTGCAGTAGCAGAACCCATACAAGGCAGGATATTGAGTGGGATTGGGCAGGTCCTCAACAGCAAGCATTTAACACAATGAAACTAATGATAACAGATGCCCCATCCTGAAGTACTACCAGCCGAGAGAGCCACTAATACATCTCTTTTGCAGGAGCAGCTGGTCACTTATGCCTGCAGGACCATGTCAGAGACTGAACAGGGGAATGTCCAAATAGAAAAAGAACTTCTGGTTCTGGTATTTAGAGTGGAGCAATTCCATCAGTACAGCTATTGCCCCCCAATAATAGTACAATCAGACCACATACCCCTGGAGATAATCATAGCAAAGCCCCTTTTTAGTGCACAAAAGAGATTGTAGCACATGTTGATGCACCTCCAGTGCTACCAGGTAGAGAGATCAGATTTTGTCCATGAAGATTACTGGCATTTGCTGACACCCTGGGCAGGGCATATATACCCAGAATCTGCTAGTTTGGGGAAAGAGGATCAGGACAGCAAATCCATTAACATACTGCACTATCTCCATTTCAACAGCACAGCTAGAGGATATCAAAGAGGCTACAGAAAAGGATGGGAGTCAAGAGAGAGATACTAGCAGAGTGGCCAGAAGACAAAAAAAAATTCTAGTAGGAGCAGAACCATATTATCAAATTAAAGATGAACTGAGCATCTAGGGTGCAATCATATTTCAAGGCGAGAGAATTTTTTTCTCTTCCACATTACACAATGTATGTCATGAAAAAAATGCATGCCTCACACCTGGTCATTGACAGCTGTTTTAGATGGGCTTCAGAGTGTGTTTACTGGACGGGAATGAATACACAACTCTGCTCCTTGACAGAAGGGTGACACCTACCAGTCATGTGATAATTGTCATCAGAAAGACTTTTATCATACAAGCTGCCCACCCGATGATAGGAAAAGGTGGCAGCAGACTTATTTACCTCCAATGAAAAGTAGTACTTGATTACAGTGGACTACTATTCAAATTTCTGGGAAGTCGATGCCCTGCCTAATACAAGAAGAAATTCAGTCATTGGCAAACGGATGGCCCACTTTGCAAGATATGACAGTCCGATCACTGTATTCACTGACAACATACCCTAATTTATCTCAGAAGAATTAAAGAAATTTGCACACAAATGGGAGTTTGACCACCACACCTCCTCCCCAGCATACCCACAGAGTAATGGTAAAACAGAATTAGCTGCGAAAACAGCTAAGTGACTGTTACACAAGGAAGTTTCTTCTGATTCAGACCCCTTTTTAGCATCTTTGGCACACAGTAATGTGTCATTACAGGTGTACCAAAATGCTCCAGTTCAGGCACTGATGGGACAAAGGTCCAAAATCCTGCTCCAATGAGATTAGATCTGTGCAGCCAAAAGGATGGAGATGCCGCTGAAAGATGACCAACAATCAGAGAAAGCAGGCACTAGAGAACAACTGGTCAGCTAAGGACCTACCAGTCTTGGATACGGGCACTCTTGTGATGATCCAGCCATTAGAGAGACACCATTATGAGTGGACTAAAGGAATCGTGAGGAATGCAGTGGTAACCAAGTCATATGAGGTGATGCAAAAGGAAGAGAAGACACTTACAAGCCAGCAGACACTACTCTAGAGAAAGCCTACAGAGATACAGAGATCATCCACGATCTCTTTCTCCACAAAGAGAAAGTTTGTTAAAGATAGGTGACAGTGAAACAGATAAGTCTCTCCCAGGGTGGGCATCTGTGAAGAGACTAAACTATCTCGCAGACTATGTAGCTTGCTGAGTCTGTAATAAAGATGAGACTCCACCTCAGCAATGTGCTAGCAACCTCTGGCTGAAGGGACACAGGGCATCAATTATTTATTATAATGTAAATGTTAACATGTTGTTAAAATAGGGAAGCTGTATCATGATAAGTGGAACTAGAGTCAGATGACCCATGTTCCCTGGAGGGACTGGTATTGAGAGGACACCAGGAAAACAAGTAATATGGGGAGTTGTGCTGGTAGCAACTAGCCATGAATACAGAGCAGTCCACTGGGTTTAATAAAATTTTACTTGTTGTGAATAAAACATCCCTTATGGCCCCCCAACCCCCAGGTTGTACAGGCTAAGCCACTAGTCCGTAATCTGGCCCTTAAGAAGCCTGTGGTTAATTGTTGACAAGGAACAGCTGTGTCTTGATGACTACGGCAGTCAGAGGAGGGTACATTGCTGACAAGTCACATTTTTGTTTGGGGGAGGGTTGATTTTATAAAGTAAATGTGTATGTGCTTAGGATTTTTCCCTTAGTTTGTATGTTAAATGTTTACAAAAGCACCTTCACCCCATGAGGGTGGGGAAAGCATTATAGCCCTGCAGCAGAGTCCAAATAACTGTCCTTTTCCTCAGGGCGGTATGTCCTAATGGTCAGAGTCAATAGGAACACCCTTCGATGCAGGGCAGTATGACCCAGTGGCCAGAGTCAGTGGGATTGCCCTTAGCCTTAGGGCAATATGGCCTAATGGCCAGAGTCAATAAGACCATCCTTCAGTGGGGTTCTATCTGAAACATGCTGACTCGGTTCCCGGTTTCACAACCAGATCAATGTTTGGTTCCCCTGAGGTACTTCCCACCCTGTCTTCCGGCTCTGTAGGCTGCAGGTCCTCTGGGTCTCCAGGGTAGTCGGCAGGTGATGCTCCTGATGACTCCTTCCCCTCACAGGCTTCCATAGCCTGGGTTTTGACTCTTTTGCCTGGGTCTTGGTGTGGCTGGACTCCGTGGTCTGGGGCTCTGACAGCTCCTGGCTAGGAGCCTGCAATACATGTCCTCTCTCCTCTGCGGTCAGAACAGACTGAACTGGGCTGCTCACTGTTATACTGAGATTCCAGTTGGAGCATGCCCAGCAGGGGCGAGGGGGCCGTATGGGGTTAAGCCCTTTCTGTCCAGTACGGGGCAGGTGTACCCCATCACACAGAATAGATGTGTCTCTACAAATAGAAAACAGACCACACAGGCATCCTGATGGAGATATCTACAATGCATAGTTATAGTTTAAAAATACAACTTAGTGCTATCCATTACTGGATCTCTGGATGGCAGCTGATCTCCTTGATGAACAACAAGGATAGAGAGAAGCCCTTGGCCAAAAGCATTTTTCAAGTTTGTAAAGTGAACATTTTTATAGAATAAGCAAACCAAATGGCCTTTTTACCCTTGATCCAGACCAGAATTCTCATTCTGTTTCTACATGAGCCCTGAAGCTGTGAAAAAAAATGCCTCATCAGCATCATTTAGGTTAATGTCAGAAGAAATTAATCATTAAAAAGCTGTGACTGCAATAACTATGCCATCTCTGTCGGGGAAAGAAATTAAGGCATTCCCCTCTGTCCAATGGTCACTCTCAGTGCACAAGGGGACTAGATGTATTTAGTGGAAATAGATCTTTCCTGATATGGTAAGGCTGGAGGAGATAAAGAAATTCAGAACTCTGTTTTCTCTCTCATATGTATTAAGAGGAAGAAATTGGATGCAGTTGCCTGCTAAAAGCTACTCCATATGTTATAATACTATATTAATACCTGTCTATTAAATGCAGCGATAAGTACTTGCAAGAGTAACTTTTTGTTATTTTTAAAGGTTCATTTTTCCCCTTTGTGCTGCCACTGCCACTAGCAGAGTAAGTGTAGAGAGAACATCCCCTCAGGAAAGGAGTAGTTTTAAATTAACTGAAATGCACTATGGCTTCAATAGACCTATTAAAGGAACATTTATTTTCCACCTTCAGCTTCATGAACTGCTAACTCACACCAGACTCTGATATCAAAATGCAACATTTATAAACAGAAAGATGTGAGATAACCTTTTTGCACCTCAGTATTAGAAATCTCTTTCTTTATACTCCACTCATTACCACTTTAAAGGAGTGTCTTACAACATTAAAAAAACAAAGGTGTATAACTTTGTGGCTTAACTTTCTCTCGCTCCCCCTCCCCATTAAAGCCCAGTTCAGCAAAACCTTAAGCATATGCTTAAGGGCTTTGCTGAAATGGAGTGTGATGGGGTGGGACTCACCACTGCGGTGCCTCCTACTGGCTGTCTGGGGAATTAGCTCTGCACCCTCTTCTGGTGGTGTCTCACCCACCATCACCTCTGCTTCTGAACCCATGTCACTCCCAGGACCACAGTGTCCTCTTCATAACACTGCCCTCCAGCTGTGCCACACTCTGTGTTCTCCCCTTCCTGGGGACCTGCAATCTCTGCCCAACCACTTCCCTCAGTGGCAACTGCAGTCCATTGCCCCGGGGCCATTTCCCATCCGGCTCCAGCACGGTCTTCTGCCCTTACCTCAGGGCCTCAGCCTGCAGACCCCAGCAGCCATCCAGGAGCTCTCGCTAACTCCCTGGTCCGCACTTGCAGCACTGAATTGTCCCAGGTGCTGGGGCTTCTTCCCTCTGCTAGGAACCTGGGCTTCTCCCCTCATGCTCCAGTCAGCTACTGAACTCTGCTCTGCCTTGCAGCCCTTCTTATATGAGCCTGCCGGGCTAGGATTGGCTGGTCCTCTCAGCCCCTTTCTAATTGGGCTGCCTCCGGCGCAGCCTCCCTAGTGCTGCTTTTAACCCCTTTTCTGCCAGTGAGGGGCAGCCGCCCAATCATAGGGCCATAAAGCCAGTGCTTTTAATTAAGGTTTTAAATAGGGCTGTCGATTAATCGCAGTTAACTCACATGATTAACTCAAAAAAATTAATCGTGATTAAAAAAATATATCACCATTAATTGCAGTTTTAATCGCACTATTAAACAATAGAATACCAATTGAAATGTATTAAATATTTTGGATGTTTTTCTACATTTTCATATATATTGTATTCTGTATTATAATTGAAATCAAATGTATATTATTTTTAATTATAAATATTTGCACTGTAAAAATGATAAACAAAAAATTGTATTTTTCAATTCAGCTCAATTTCACTGTAGTGCAATCTCTTTGTCATGAAAGTGCAATTTACAAATGTAGATTTTTTTTTGTTACATAACTGCACTCAAAACCAAAACAATGGACTGAGTGGACTTGTAGGCTCTAAAGTTTTACATTGTTTTATTTTTGAAAGGAGTTATTTTTTGTACATAATTCTACATTTGTAAGTTCAACTTTCATGATGAAGAGATTTCACTACAGTACTTGCATTAAGTAAATTGAAAAATACTATTTCTTTTATTTTTACAGGGCAAATATTTATAATCAAAAATAAATATAAAATGAGCACTGTACACTTTGAATTCTGTGTTGTACCTGAAACATCCAAAAATATTTATATAAATAGTATTCTATTATTGTTTAACAGTGAGATTAATCACGCTTAATTTTTTTAATCCTGCAATTAATCATAATTAATTTTTTTAATCGCTTGACAGCCCTACAACAAACCCATCCTGTCATCACTCTATTGACTCCCCATAGAATATTGCATAAAGTTCAAAAATTTCAGTCTTTATCTTCAAGGCCCTTAATAGTTTTAATCCAGGATCTCAAACAAACCTCACACATTTGGATGAAGATTGTGGTCATTAACTCCATTTCTGTGGTACAATTAAATTATTCCCTGCAAGGGTAAAGCTTGGTTGTGTGTGGGGCTGAGCATCATCAGGGGCAGATCTAAGATTCTGGAATGAACTCCATTACATAATGTGCTAAGAACTAGGTGAAACCTCATTGCTTTGCACTGTAAGTGAAGAGCACACTTCTTTGACCTGGTCTTCACTAAAGAAAGCTCATAGCACATACAAAACAAAACTAAGAGTTTGGTCATGGAGAATGCTTCAAACATATAGCCCTGTTCAGCACCAGTTTGTTTCAACTGACTGAACTGAAGAGTAGTTCAGAGTAGTATCATGTCAAAAAGAGATTGGTAGTTGAGATAAGAGATTGATGGAGAGATAAGATAAGGAGGGACATTACATCAGCAGCAGTAACATCATAGAAAATGATGATGTGCCAGATTTGACATTATGACATAAACGCTTGCCAGGGCCAGCTCTAGGCACCAGCGTTCCAAGCATGTGCTTGGAGCGGCACTTCTGAAGAGGCGGCACTCCGG